AGTTGCTGAGGAAGTCTCAAATAGAGACGAAACGTTCAACGGATAAATATAGTGTTCATCTTAATTAAAACCCGTCCAAAAAACAACTTCCCTAAGAGTAAACTTAGTAATAATATTAATAAATTTTGGATAAGAAAAAAATCTTGATTATATTAACATAATATATAAATACCTTAGCGAGTATCTCTGCCTGCAAGATATCGTCTCCTGTTAAAATTACATTCTGCACTCTTTGTCCCTCTCCAAAGTTTGATAGAAACCAATCTGTGTCGTGAACAAAATCAGAGTCGGGGGGAATCCAAAGTTTCAACGGATTCTTTTCTTGTCGAAACCAATACAATCCGCTAAGACAAAACATAATAATTATAACGCTTCCTATCAACCATCTCTGTGGTTGTAAAGCTATTCTCAATCCCAACCTGAAAGAAGCAAATTAAATCATTTTCCAGCGATGTACTTATCATTCATTCTAGCCAGTGTTTGTCGTACTAGAACGTGCTATGAATAAACAAGCTTTGAACTTACGCATAAAAAAACCGCTCTACTCCTTCTGATATACGTTTTGGTATGTGACGTATGATACTCATAAAAGATCTTTTCTTAGCAAATCTTTCTTGTATCTCCATTTTTCTTGTTAAATACAAGACCTTGCCTTGAAACAAACTATCTTCTTTTATAAGCGTTAGAACTTAAATTTGTGCATCTGCCTCATTGAAGTTTTGGAGTATTGTACTAGTACTAAACGAAAAGAATATCACAATGGTAGAGTTAGAAAACACATAAAAATGTGTTTACACAAAGGAAACTTGCAAACTTTAGCCTTATCGATTCACATTATCATAACCTCTGTATTTAAATTAACGTTGTAAAAAACTTGTGTCACTTGAATAATCAATATATATATATATAGTTTCAAAGATTGAATTAGAGATCTTTGAACATTTTTTACAGAAAATTTATTACTCGTTTGGATCATCTTAGCAATAAGAAAAGATATATGTATTCACATACAAGTTACAAATGGTTGCAAACTTTCACTTGGCCGGCAAGCTCTCTCTCTCTCTCTCTCTCTCTCTCTCTTTTATATAAAAACACACTCTCTCTCTCTTTCTCTCTCTCTCTCTCTCTCTC